GAGCGCGTGGCGAGATGTGCGCATAGCAATATCGATCCCCGGCCGGTCACATCTTGCCACGCGCTCGAATTGGGCGGTAGGCCGGCCTAAGACAACGATTTTTAATAATTAATTACTCGTTAACTATTACGAATATTGCAAAATGGTACAGGACTTTTCTGTTCATCTCGATCCGTTCTACCTTCTCAAAAATTTTGTCGGATATGGAAAGACTCACCCTGTATATGTTACACCTCCGTTTCAATGCAATAAGTCAATCTTGTTTAAATTATAGAGAGAAGAATAGGGATTATTGATTTAATCTGAATACCGTTTCAATTTTTTTACTACATGAGATTGCGATAAGGTTTAAATATATCAAGAATACTTTTTGTCTTGTCATCGGAAATCCTTTCTGAGAGATCGCACACGGACTTCGAGTTAATTCCGCGAATGTAAAATCTGCCTGGAATTGATTTGAAGTGAATAAAGAAATACATGAAGGTTACATAAGAATTTATTTCGCTGACGATCGCGGATGGAAGTTGCGCCGTGTATACGCGGTATATACAATTTCTCGATTGCCTATTCACGAGAAATAAGGTCGACGAATGCAACGTATGAGAAGCGACATACGTTAAGGTAATATTTCTGAATTCCGCCATTCGTATTATCCATAAGGGGATATCGCGGCGGTAATTCACACGCGAACGTACCGCAATAATTCCGCGAGGACTCCGGCATTCGCGCGCGTGCATAATTATATGCGTGGCGCGATGAACGCGCGCGCTTCGTTACGTGCACACGATCCACGTACGAAACTTGTCTCGTGTGCTCTGTCGCAGATTAGAAACTGATATACGTACAGGCTCGCAGGCGTGCATTCGCTAAACGGTATTACAAGCCGACGGCAACGGCACCACGCTGGCCGGGTAGATGCGTGTTCGATCTTTTTCACGTCTAATGATTTTAATGGTACTAATCGATTCTGCGCGGTTTCGCACAAGTGCGCAAACGACGCACGACAGACAAGTCGTTAATTACAGTTACGCGCCCGGCTTAGATAATCCGCGTCTAAATAATTAATTACTCCTATCAATCGCGTATTTAGAGGCATGCTGCGTTGTGGTATTTCAAACGTTCGTAAAGCCGAGCGAATATGGCAGATAAACAGGGAAAATGTGAGGCTTATGAGGCTCTGTGAGGCGTTTCAGGTTTCGCCATTTCATCCTGCGTCAACACGGAGGGAAGTTTTTCTCAAAATTTATCCCGAAAATCATGTAATCGTGGGACAGCGTGGTATTTCGAAGAATTTTACGAGAGTTTCTTGAAAACTTAACCATACAATTCTACCAGTAAAATGTAGTCGCCAAATTTTTTGAAGTGAAATAATGAAAATACTGCCAGTCCAAATGGAGCAAAATTTCACTTTTTGAAAAAGTGCCATTATTCACTCTATGCTTGGATTGATTCTTCACCTTTGAAAAGAGCACTATGTTAATTTACTTTAATCGATTACTGTTAGCAGTATAAAATTCACAGACGAGAGCTTCGCTATTGTTTGTTCTCTGTCATCACCGCATACAGAAGCTGTATTCTAATAATCACAACCAGTACTGAAAATCTATGCTTTATGTAACAGTTTCGCTTATTCTGCTGATTGTCACGAAACAACCGTTGCGGCCCGTGACGGGGCGCCTTATATGTCGGGCTATCGTGATCTTACTTACGAGTTCGGCGGCTATTTAATGGCGGAATGTTGTAGTGAATTTTAGAATGTTAACGACTTCACTTTAAAATAGCAGTGAAATTCTTCACTTTTTGTCTTAGAGTAAATTAATTCGCTTTATTGGAGTAAATATTCACTCGAATAGAGCGAAGTGGTCAGTGACACCATGATTTGAGTGAAAATTTTACTCGAGAAATTTTAGAGGATATGACAAAATTTCAAGAAACTCTCATAAAGTTCCAGAAATTTTACCATACATTCTACTAGTAAAATAGATACTAACAATAAGTATAATTATACTAGTAAAATGTATGGTAAAATTTCAAAAATCTCTCATAGAGTTTATCAAAATGCCAGGTTGTCCCACGATTATATAATTTTCCGGATAAATTTTAAGAGAAAATTCTCTTTTTGATGTGTTTCTTTTTCTATTTAAAATTAATCCTTCCTTTTAAGAGGGAGGGAGAGAGAGAGAGAGAGATGCAGAGACAAAACATTCCTAAATTATTGACATAAAAAAATTGAAAGATAAATAACAGCAATATCTTATTTTTCATTTGAACAAGATATTTCAAACTAAAAAGTTGCGTCCAAGTTGTTCGAGGAATAGATACTTGTATGTTAGAATAGATATTCGCA